ATATAAAGTTAAAACATTTACATTATATAAATTTTTCATTGATTAACAGATAGGAAGTATCACTTGATAAAAAAAAATGCTTGGAATAATATTAATTGAGAAAAATTCTACTGAAAAATGCATATATTTTCCAAAAAATACACCTAATTAATTCCATGCTTTTAGTGAAAACCATCATTGCAGAAACAAAATATGTTTATCAATGAAGGGCAAGTTGGACTTGGATAGCCTTTGGAAAGTTGTTTCCCTGTTTATTTTGTCCAAATGTTAAGACTTGAAAGTGAAAGTATACACTGCAAATGGCGGATTCTATAGGGGTCTTGTCTTTATACATGTCATGCTTTCAATAACAGCCTTTCAGAGACCATTCACGTCCAACTTGCCCTTCAATGATAAACATATATTATTTCTACAATGTTGGTTTTCACAAAAAGGACAGAATTAAGCAGGTGCATTTTTCTTTAAATACGCACATTTTCTGATACAATTTTTCTCAAAAAATATCTTTTTAAAAATATTCGTTATCAAGTGATACTTTCTATCTATATTAATTAGTGATATATTTACAAAATGTAAACGTTTTGACTTCATACCACACATAGTTTTGGAGCAATTGTAAAAATAATTTTTTAGACATGTTGACCTTTGACGAAACCTTTTAACAACTTTATTCTGAAATGATTTTTTTTAACTGGTTAGTTGTAAAACCAGTTAACTGTTGCCATCCCTAGTTATTTTGTAAAAGCTTGAGTGTAATTGCGTAAGAAAGGATAATTGATCTTAATGTTAAACAATAACAAAAGTATTTTACATGTTTTTTTTATTATTTAGCAAATGCCTCATTGCACATTTGTTAACCTAAAACTTTTAAAGATATACTTTAATTTTCCCAAATTTACCATTGATTGTGATTTGTGATGAAAAAGGTTTATATACTTGGAGATGTTTTTCATTATTTCCATTCGTACGTTTACATGAATAGCAGATTTTTAGTATTAAAGTAAGGGTCTAGTCGTGTGACGTCAAAACCCGGGATCGGACTCCCGGATAGGTTTTTAACACTATTATTTGTCGATAACATCCCGCAGTAATGGCGGCAAGAAATAAGAAGGGGAAATTCGTGAAATCCTCTCGATAAAGCAAAATGAAGTCCTGAGGAGAGAGTGTGTAAAATATTGGGACCGCAGTGATGATACTACTTCTAAAGTAAATGTTGAAACACCTGTAATCACTCCAGTTACGAACGAAGACCATGTGTATCACTGTGTTGACCCCCTTGCTAGCGATGTCCGTGTTGCTAGAGAAGAAATTGTTGAGCCAACGGGTAAAAATGATTGGAGCGAAGGTAGACGTATAATCGAACTTGGTATCCTTGCAAATAATTTGAAGGAGTGCAAGAGATGTGGACAACCTTTGCATTTATCCGATTGTGTTGGAGAGACTAGATTCGGACTCGCTCAAATTCTCCAAGTACAGTGTAGATACCAGGAGTGTAGGCTACTTAATGATGTCCCAACAGGCAAAAAACATCAAACAGAAAAGGGAGGAAAAGCATGGGATATTAATACGAAAGTAGCAGTAGGTAAGTGTATTATAGTTCTGAAATAAACCTGGAATTTGGATAAACTTGTATACATTGGTGTTTTTAATCAGGGGTGTGCAATAGATATTACAAAAATAAATGATTAGCCCGTTGGGCTAACAAAGTTACTAGCCCGAGGTTGCCAGTCACGCCCATTAACTACTGACAACAATACATGTATAAGTATAACATAAAGATTAAAAAAAAACATTGAAGTTGAAATAAGTAAAACAAATAAAGGTTTGAGCTTTGTAATTGTCAGGTACTTCCTCCTATTTATATCGACTATAATTGTCACTGATATCATGAGACGACTGGCAATAGGAACACACAATGCATATAGGTTAAAACGAATTAAAGATTTTGATTTTACAGAAAAGTTTATTCCTACCTCAATTCAGTCGAGGTAAATATATTTTTACTTTTGTTTTAGATTTACTAGCCCGACGGGCTAACGCAGTATAGATTTAAGATAGCCCTACCTCTAAAATTGGTAGATGGTAATTGCACACCCCTCTTTTTTTATCTTTGATTATTGTTTTAAATAACTGTGTTTGTAATATTTTAGGAATGATCAATGGTGGCTTCGGAGAGTCTCATTTAAATGCCTTTTTAGCAGCACTAAACATTCCAGGAATTTCGAAGGGAGGTCTAAAGGAAAGGGAAAGGGAAGTTGGCAGTACACTGAGTAAAATGGCAGAAGAAGAATTATGATACAGTCTATTAGAGGAAGTTGAAAAGTATGTTTATTGGTATTTGTCAAAATAATTTGAATTATTGAAAAAAAATAGAAATTTCATGCATGATAATTATTGGATTTTTCTTCAGGAGTGATGGTAATCTCACTGTCAGCTTCGATGGTGCCTGGCAAAAACGGGGTACTGGGCGTGCCTACAATAGCCTTACAGGTATTTTTTGATGTTTAAAAAAGTCATCAATTATCCTAATTAGTAATTTGAATTGGATGCTTTGACTTTTCACTGATTACTAAAATAATACAAAGTATTTACTGCTATTGAACAATTTTCTTTTATGTTTGAAGGACATGCAAGTTTGATTGGGGAAAAAACCAAGAAATGTGTTGGTTATGCTGTAAAATCTAAAAAATGCAGAATATGTGACTTGGCAAAACGGAAGGATGTTCCTGTGAGGAAGCACAAATGCAGTCGAAACTGGTCAGGGTCAGCCGAATCTATGGAACCTGCTATGGCTTGCGAGATGGTGCAGAGCATAAAAGATCAAGGTGAAAAGGTATGAGTTGTATAGATATGTTCGATTTTATATATATATCTGTGTACATTCAATACATTCTAAGAGGTGAAAGTGCTATGAATTAAAATGCCACCTTCCATGAAATCTTTATTACATATTTATATATACTGTATACAGGGAAATTTTTGCCCCCGTTTTATTTTTGCCCCTTTCGCCCTTCTCTCATTTGGACGAATTTAAAACGGGGAGAATTCAAAGAATGCAGTATAATTTCTTAACCAAAACTATGTTCAGGCGAATTTAAAACCTGACAAAATTGTTTGCAAGTGTGAAAGGGCGAAAATAACCCCTGTATACAATATCTGAAGATTGTAAATGAAAGTGCTAATGCATTACTGTTTTTTATTTTGCTTATAATTATAAAATGTTGTTAGGTTACCACGTTAGTAATGTACAACGATTCTACAACAATAGCCAGATTGAGAGCAACTGTTGATCCAGATATAAAGAAAAAGGTGGACAGCAATCACATGAAAAAAGGGTTTACTGGAAGTCTTGTGGAAATCAGCAATACCCATAAAGTATTGAAAAATGTTAAAGTTAAAACTCACATTTGAGATGCTTTACATATTGTGTTCATCAGGCATCTGAAGATCCAGAAAAGTTAGCCAATGATCTGGGGGAAAATTGTTCCTCATTTATATGGTAAGAATACTACTTGAAAAAAGAATGAACACATATTTAATGTTTGACACTTGCAAGAAAATTAATTTTGTTTTCTAATTATTTTTAGAAATATTTAGAAATTGGTCTGAGTTCTTGATAATGTATGAATGCTGTATTTGTATTAGTGTATTTAATCTAAATAGGGGACCATTCCATGTGTGGCACATGGTGCAGGAGTGAACAAACTGGTTACAAACCAAAAAACTTGCCATATGGGAAACCTCTAACAAGTGAGCCTCTGAGATCAGCTCTAGAAAAACTGTTTGAGAAGTATGACTGGGCAACTGAGTTGGTGTCGATGGGATCCACTCAAGTGAATGAAAATTTTAACCACATGGTTAGCAAAGCGCCTAAAAGAATGTAAGAATTTTTAATTTTCAAATTTATGAAATGATAAAAACCATGCACATAGATAAAACATATACCTTTTATTAATTAGACTATGTCACCTAAACTGTTCATAGGTTTTATGGAGGTTCAGACAGTCTGCATAGTAGAGTATCTGCAACTGTCTGTCAGAAAAATGAGGGGTATAATTATATAACTGAGGTATACAAATGAAAAAAAATGTTCTTTGATGTTCTTTTGATGTTCACACATGGCAGTTTAGGCAATGTCTATAAAGTAAAGTATTTAAAAGGAAACATAAAAAATACCCATACATAGCCTAAACTTGTTTGTGTAGTTCTTTGTTCTTGTCTTGTTTTAATACATTTATTTTTTATTTACTTGACCTAGTTTCATTTTTAATGCATGATTGATTTTCAAGGGTTTTGAAAGTTTTTAGAGAATTATATCTATAAATTGTGTGAATTTATTGTAACAGTAAAACTCGTTTAGTACAAACACAGATATTGCGAATTCACAAATATAGCGAAGTCATCTTGGATCCCCATCTATATAAATTTAATGAACTTCTTATATGGATATAAAGAATTACGGATATAGCGAAGTAATTTTATAGGTCCCGGTGACTTCGTTATAACTGAGTTTTGCTGTAATACATTTTAATGCAGACACATTTGATTTTTTACTCAATAAAATATATAATCTCTTTACTTGAAAAAAAAAATTATTACATGTTTTACATATTGATAAGGATCTGTTGATTCTTCTTTTTTTTTTTCCAGAAAAAGTTTTCAATTTCATATTGTTATTTTTCTCAGGTGAATAAAAGACTGACAGTGTCTCCTGGAAGATACACCCTCAAGCATTCCAGGATCCTACAAAGCAGACTGAAGCTGAAGCGATTACAACAAGCAAAGCGGAGCACAAAGCGGAGGCGTTTAGAGCTGAAGTCAGAGCGGTCTTCAAAAGATGCATCACAATCTGTTCTTGAAGGTAAGTCAGATAAATACAATTTATCTGAAACTTAATTTAGATGTTTCTTTTTACCTATCATTTTTTTCCAAACATTTCTATTGCAGCCGATACATACAGCAGCAAAATTGGTTTGAGCGAAGAAGTTGATATGAAGACATTTCTCTGAATAAATTAGATCAACTACCGAGTACTAACAAATCCTACATGGTATTTGACCTAGAGACTACTGGTTTAGGTTTGTGAACTATTTTTTTCTTTGTAGAAATATCTAAGGAATATATTATATAAGGTTAAGAGAATTGTGTTGCACTTGACTTAGAAGTATACACTATGGGAGTTGCAATATTTATTTTTATTTATTTCAGCCAGGACATCAGACATTGTTCAGATTGCAGCTGTATGTGGAGAGAGAGAGTTCAACATGTACTTGACACCACAGTCCCCAATTAGTCTTGATGCATCTGCAGCAACTGGGCTTACTTTTGTTGGTGGTGTGCTGAAGCATAATGGCAAGAAGGTGGACCATAAAGAGCCCTTTGAAGGACTTCAGCAGTTTGTAGAATTTTTGAAGACTGTTGATTGTAAACCTATTTTGGTTGGGCACAATATACAATGTTTTGACCTACCAGTGTTAATGAATCAGCTAGTCAAATGTAAATTACTTGACAGTTTTGCTAGCACTGTCACTGGTTTTATAGATACCTTACAAGTGTCTAGGAAATCTTTCAGCAAAGATGATGTTAAAGATTTTAAACAAGTCACTCTTGTAAATACTTTCATTGGAAAAGATTATGAAGCTCATAATGCTATTGCTGATGTGAAGGCATTGAGGGAACTTTTTGAAATGAAGTTGTTGGCTCTGTGTTCAGCTAATGATGTGTTCACTTTGAATTATTATACCACAAAGAAGTCTTTAGAGCCCCTTGTTAAGGCAAAGATTGTATCTTCCATGATTTCAAAGAAGTTGATTGCAAATTCTCTTAGTTTGTCTAAGTTGGTGCTAATCCACAAGAGGGATCCACATAATGGGTTACGAAATGTTTTTAGTGAACCATTGTCGGGTTCAAAGCAGCCTAGAATATCCAAGTCATCTAATGTAATCAACAAATTGGTTGAATATTTGAATGGCTGTGAATGATTACTGTTTGTATGTATTTTAATTTAGATAATACAGTGTGTAAAATAAAGGTCTAAAAACTTGTATGGGAGATTTCAGTCAACACTCAACCTAACGTTAGACTGTATTTGTTTTTTATGCTGACTGTTAATATTCTGTTGTATACTAATTTTTTGTGTATACTGTTGAACACATAATTGGATGTATTTTGACTCAATGTAGTGGAAAGAGTAATGCTTCAAAATTGATGACTGATTAGACTGTGGATTTTCATTTCATTTACTTGAAAAACAGATACATGTATAATATGTGAAATATATCTGTAATTAATGGCACACAGAAAGTATTGTAGGTTGTAAAAATTTATTATATTCTAAAAAATGTTGTTATTCTTTTGCAGTTATGCATCTATGAAATGAAATAAAAGTCATCAATAGCTCTGGATTTTTTATCTTCCCTCATTTGAAATTCCTTATCAAAAATCTCAATTTGGACAAAAAACGTGTAAATAAATAGTGGTGCTGAGAAAAAATATATGCTGGCAATGTGCTGTTTTTTTAATTTAATTTTAACAAATAGTCATAGATGAACATAATTTGAGAATTTGAAAAATCACAAGTCATTTTTTTTTTTACAATAATTTTAATAGTGTTGTACTTCCAAGTTTTTGGGCTGGTCGAGGGTTGTATTTTGTTCAATTTAGTCCCCCAAAACCAAGGAAAATATAATAAGAATAAAATTTCACTGTAATTTGTTTAATTGGATATATTTCTTTGATTTTAATAGGAAAAATCATTCATTGGCATCAAATTTAGTGTCTTTATGTACTAATTATGTGAAACCTTTATTGGAATCTCGTATCGTCAATTGACAAATGGGGGTACCTATGTTTGAGAAACTCTCTCTCAGTAATAATATTGACAACCCCTTCTTTTTTCCAATTCATCACACTTTAGTATGAACAATCTAAACATTTGAGAACAATTTTTTGAAAAATCACAAGTAGGTCCAGTACTAGGGACCTACCTTAACTGTAACAAAAAAAGTGTTGAGAAACTGTGTCATACATGTAGAAGATATCAAAAGCAATCTTAAGTTCTCATTCTATTATTTAGTACAGTGGTGGTGTTTTGCTGTGAATGGTGTGCAGTTAATATTTATACAAGTTCACAAGAGTGGATTAATTTGGAAGGCCAGTGTTTGCTCTTACTTTTTTATCCGTTTTTTTTTAACCTTTTTGTGCACATTCTTCTTTCTATGGAGTTTACTTTCATTTGACGAGGCCATTTGTTTCAACTGATAAGTAAGATTGTTTATTATTTTAGAATTTTGGAAACATCCAAAGCACTCACAAACAGTTTGCATTACAAACACATTTTGACTTAC